AAAAAAAAATAGAACACTTCATAAACAGCAAGCTCTTTTTGTTGCATTTTTGGTATTTAAAATTATTCCTTAAGAATATCTTTAAGAGGGCGCCTGGGTGGCTCAGTTGGTTAAGTGACTGCCTTCGGCTCAAGTCATGATCCCAGGGTCCTGGGATCGAGTCCCACATCGGGCTCCCGGCTCAGTGGGGAGCCTGCCTCTCCCTCTGACCCTCTCCTCTCTCATGCTGTTTCTCTCTCGCTTGCTCTCTAATAAATAAATAAATAAAATCTAAAAAAAAAAAGAATAATATTTTCTTACAATAGGCAAAGTAAGATACGAACTTTGTTATAACGCTTTATGTTCAAGAGTCAAAATTTTCAGTGCTTATGGATAGCAAAGTCAGAGTTGTTTCATAATCAGGGTGGCTCATTCGGTTAAGTGTCTGACTCTTGATATTGGCTCAAGTCACAACCTCACGGTGAGATCCAGCCCCTGAGTCCAGCTCTTTACCAGGCATGGAGCCTGCTTAGGATTTTCTCTTCCTTAGCCCCTCCGCCCCCCACTTGCACACTCTCTCTCAAAAAAACAAAACAAAACAAAAAAACAATTGTGAAACAATTCAACAAAGATCACACCTTTGTTGTCATATGAAAGACTTGCCATAATTTTAATTTTGCACTGAAGTTTATATTTGAGTAGAACAAAATTTTACTATTTATTTTAGATGGACAATTTATATTTATTAAAATACAGAGCAGGGAGAGCCCTCCACTGTTATTATGAATAAGCTTTTAGATAGTAACTTTTTAAAAAAAAAGATTTATTTATTTATTTTGAGAGAGAGAGAGAGCATGTGCATGAGCGCACATGAGCAAGCAGAGGGCAGGAGCAGAGGGAGAGGGAGAGTCTTAAGCACACTCTGCACTGAGTGTGGAGCCCCATGCAGGGCTCAATCTCACAACCCTGAGATCACGACCAGAGCTGAAAGCAAGAGTTGGATGCCTAACAGACTGTGCCACCCAGGCGCACCTATGAATAAACTTTTAAATGTAGATAAAAGAGATACATACCTCAGGGTGAAGAATACCTTGAGGTTCTATTTTAAGGAAATAAGTTTCCAATGTAATCACATAAACAGTGTATAAGACTGCATGTTTGTACCATGTGAATTATCATTTCAAACAGCTGCGAACTCAAAAAATTTTATTTAAGCCTTACAAACAATTTTGTCTACTATTTCTCATTGTAGGAAGATTTCTCATACATCCAAAAAATGTATGTTAAATTTAAATCAATCTATTATTTTGTCAGCTTTTATAAAAAAATCTGGCACAATGAAGTTGAAACTGTTAAACAATACTTGCCACTTCTTTAAGAGTTATTCTGAACTCTTTTCATTTCTATGGGCTATCAAGACTAAAAAAACGCAGACAAAAATGGTTTTTACATTAAATTCAGTAACTAATGAACATGTATAATGCAAAAAAAAAGAAAATGTACAATGCAAAAAACTTCAGGTAAATAAATCAACAATGAGTAACAAAAAATAAGCAAAACAAAATTCAAAAATTATAGTTTAACAATTTTATTTATTAAAAAGTATTTTTTTTAAGTAAGCTCTATACCTAACGTGGGGCTTGAACTCATGATCCTGAGATCAAGAGTCACATGCTCTACCAACTGAGCCAGCCAGGTGCACCAGTGTAACAATTTAAAGACAGATTCACTTCTACCATAAAGTGAATAAACTATTAAATATTCCTAATCACTTTACATATTTCTAATTAGAATTCAGACCAAACTTCAATAAAAATTTCAACTATGTTAAAATGTGCTGTTATTCAGTCCTATGCATATACATATGTAAATTAATCATTACATTTTTATTTCTTACCAGCTTTTGGTTTCACAAGTCCCACAGCAAGAATAGTCTCACTAAGTCCATCAAAATAGGCAAGGTCTCCTCTGCCAATAGTTAAAGAAAAATATGTTATACATATGAAGAAAATAGTTTCATCTAAAATGTTCTTTAAGACTATAGAATGTAATGAAAAATAAACCAGCAAAGTATAGTGTTTCAATTCCAAGATCCAGGCACACAGGCCTGTCTAAGGCTAATAAGCATAAACCAGGAAAACAGGGAATGCTGCTCCCCATCCCAAACTTCCCCCCAACCAGGTTGCAAGGTAACAGCAATTCTACTGCTGGGGCAAGACCCCCTCAGAAAAACAGGGAAAGTATAAGGCTGAGAGTGGAAGGGAAACATTGAGAAAAAATCTCCGGCATCCCAACCTGTATCCTAAGTATAAAGTAATTCTACAGGATGAAACCTGTGGTCCACTGAGGATAACCACAGCAATGACAAAACCCAACTCAGCTCAACTCCTGACTTGAAAAAAGTCAACTTTCCCCATTATAAACGCCTACCTGCTAGGCCCATTTCTAAGGATAAACACTATTTACTGCAGTATCCACTGTCCTACACATGATATCTAGCTTTCAGAAAACACATGAGACAGGGCGCCTGGGTGGCTCAGTTGGTTAAGCAACTGCCTTCAGCTCAGGTCGTAATCCTGGAGTCCCAGGTTCGAGTCCCACATCGGGCTCCCTGCTCAGTGGGGAGTCTGCTTCTCCCTCTGACCCTCTCCCCTCTCATGCTCTCTCTCACTCTCTCTCTCAAATAAATAAATAAAATCTTTAAAAAAAAAAACAAAACACATGAGACAAATAAAACACAGGAAAAAAAAGCCTGTCAAGAAACAAAGCAATCAACAGAAATGGACTCAGCTATGAGCTCAATGTCTGAACTACAGACAGAAAATTTTAAATAAATATGATTCATATAGTATGGGTGCTAATGGAAAAGGTGGATGACATAAATAAACAGATAAGGAACTTCAGCAGAGAGGTGAAAATTACAAGAAATAAGCAAGTGAAAATATCAGAAATAAAAAGCACAGCATAGAGAAAGAACATCTTGTAAGAACTTTTTAAGTAGACTTGATATAGCTAACGAAGGAATTGGTGATCCTGAAGTTGGGTCAATAGAAACTGTCCAAATTGAAACAAAAAGAAAAAAAAAAAAATGGAGAAACAAAAATAGAACAGAGCATCCAAAACCTGTTGAAGAACATCAAACAATCTAACAAAAGTATAAAAATCTCAGAAGAGGGAAAGAATGGGACAGGACAAATATTTGAAGGTAATCACTGAAAAACTTCCAAAAATAATGAAAGATCAAGAAAATCAGAAAATGCCAAGCAGAATAAATACCAAGAAAAAAATATATGATCCGGACTTTGAAGAAAACTTCTGGTTGTCCTGAAAAGGACCAAGCAAACAGGAAGAAAACACCTCAATGGCCACTTAGGTAAGCCAGGTTTCCCCGCTTTTTTCCATATTGTGATCACTGGCACAGCCTCCAGAAACTAAGACCAATACTGGGGAAGTTAGAGGTTACAAAACAATAAATGGGACAAGATTATGCGCCTATTATCCAGGTGGAATTAGGATTTATAATAGAAAGCTAATGGAATAATTGAAAGGAAGCCCAAGGCTTTTGCAGTATTGAACTTGTGAACGAAATAAAGATTTATACCCAGGACTTGTACCTTGATTTTTTTTTCAATAAGCACATTGTTCAGATGATTTTTCTTTAAATGAGTTCTAGTTTTAACACAGTAAGGTTGGACTGTATGTTCCATGTAGACAGAGACTATATTTACCGCATTCAATGCTATTCCTAGCACAAAACAGTGTCTGATACATGATAAACTCAATATTTTATTACGATGGATATATTAGATGTTAATGGAAATATAGAAATTTTCATTAAAGGGAAAACCCTTAAGGAAATTATCCTTACATTTATCTATTATGCAGTTTTTTGGCATTTGGTTTTCTTAAATACATTCATGCCTAAATGAAGAGGTTTTATTCCTTAGTATCAAAATGACCACGTTACAATAATACAACAAACTAAAGTTCAAGATATATGAAGAACAATCACAACCATACATCACTGCTATTGGGACTATATAACAGTTCAATCATAACTCTAGCTATAAAAAGTTCTAATCGAAAAAAATCAGTGAACAAAAATGGTTTCATTTAAGCTACAAGTTCAAGTTGTCATTTAGTGTCACTTCAACTCAATGATACAGTGTATGTGTGTGTGTGTGTTCCTAACAGGTGCCTTAATTACCCAAGGAAAGAGTAACAACTACATGGGCCTTCTTCTCATTAACCCACTTAACCACCTAAAGATATTATGACAGAGAACTGGTAATATGCCAAAATTTATCTCCAGAAAGCCAGGTGAGATTACCCGATCAATAAACTTTATTTTAGCAAGAAGATCTTGGACCTTCACTCAGACTGTTACATACATTCAAATTACACATAGATCAAGCTCACAGACCAACAAAACTGTTTAGTCACTTCAGTAAGCTAAGAGACTCCCAACGCATAGAAATGCATCGAAAACAGAGATCCTTAAAAATGTCAAACGATCTATCAAAAAAACTGATAAGCTACCTTATTGGAAGGTAAGAGCTTGGCAACTAGACCCCTGCTACTCAGAGTGGTACTCAGACTGGCAGCATCACTGGGAGTTTGTACAAATGAGGACTCTTGAGGCTCACTCAGAACTACTATAACAGAGTCCACATTTTAACCCCCTACCCAGATGATTGGTATGCATACTGAGAAGCAATGATCCAGATGTTAGATGAATGAAAGATAAACCATGCAGCTTCTGATGAGTAGAACATCAGCTGCAGTTAAGATAATCTAAATTCTAACCATGCTACAGCAAACCAGCATTAAATACATACCCGTCTTCATAGTTCCACATGAATATGTCACTGTCAATTGTGAGCCAAGCTCTGCTGATAGGAGGGAACACGCCCATCATGCAGTTACACTGCATATCTGAAGTAGTGTGGATGTAAGGCAAAAAGATTTCAGTCTTATCTTTCCTAAATTTGTTTTGAAAGATTTTGGTTTAAAATTTATGATTAAGGGGTGCCTGGGTGGCTCAGTCATTAAGCATCTGCTTTGGCTCAGGTTGTGATCCCAGGGTCCCAGGATCGAGCCCAGAGGCAGGCCCCCTGCTCAGGGGGGAGCCTGCTTCTCCCTCTCCCACTCCCCCTGCTTGTGTTCCCTCTCTCGCTCTCTCTCTCTGTTAAAAAATAAATAAAATCTTAAAAAAAAAAAAAAAACTTGAAAATTTATGATTAAAAAATCATGACCTAACCACTCTTTAATAGAAAGAGCAAATAAAATATCTTGATTTCTAATAAGTTTAATGAAAGATATAGCTATGACAGAAATAAACCTGTAATTTATAATTTCTAAATAATGCTATCTGACTACCTGAAATGCATTCTAAAGGACAAATGTAATGTTTTTACCATTACTAACTTAAAAAAGAATACGGATTATGAGTAACACCATTAAATTTTGACATGAAAAAACTTACTGGACCAGTTTCTCCAACTGTATAAGAGCAAGACTGATTAAAAAAAAACAAACACATGGTATGCTAAAGTCATAGCTTGACTATTTGCAAGCGTCTTATAAATAGTATGACTGAGGGGCGCCTGGGTGGCTCAGTCGTTAAGTGTCTGCCTTTGGCTCAGGTCACAATCCCAGGGTTCTGGGATCAAGTCCCACATCGGGCTCTCTGCTCGGCAGGAAGCCTGCTTCTCCCTCTCCCACTCCCCCTGCTTGTGTTCCCTCTCTTGCTGTGTCTCTCTCTGTCAAATAAATAAAATCTTTAAAAATAATAATAATAAATAGTCTGATTGAAAAACAATTATGTAATTATAAGATAAGGAAACAATTATCAAATAATTTCCTTTGCAGAAATAGTATTATCAGAAGATAAAAGAAGAATATTAAGAAACTAAGCAAGGGGGACGCCTGCGTGGCTCAGTTGGTTGAGCACCTGCTTTCAGCTCAGGTCATGATCCCAGAGTCCAGGGATCGAGTCCCACGTCAGGCTCCTTGCCTCAGTGGGGAGCCAGCTTCTCCCTCTGTCTGCAGCTCCCCCTGCTTGTGCACTCGTGCGCATGCTCTCTCTCAAATAAATAAAATCTTTAAAAAAAAAAAGAAAAGAAAAAGAAAAAAGAAACTAAGCAAGAGTAGAATATGGGATAAGGTATGTTTTATATTTAATAACACTATTTCACAAAATCTCAGAGAGACAGTGAAAATTTTAGGGAAAATATTAAATTCTACTAGTTTTTCTACATACAAGTATTCCTCAATGTTCCATTTCCTTTATTTTTCTGTCAGACTGTAATGAAATTTGAAAAGCTTTTACTTTAAATAGATTAATATACTTTTAAAAATCTCATTAAATATTAATACAGCATCTTAATGTCTAAATTAGGAGGGCTATAGATTGATAAAAAAGCTTCCTAGCAAATTTAACTATAAATCTAATGCCTTTATAGGATATGCCACACTTTTAAAAAATTAGACAAAATCTTTCTTTTTAGAGGGTAAGAAAACTCCTCTAGTAACTCAGTCTATGAAGATGCCATTAGTGTTCCATTCTTATTGTGATCCTTAGAAATGCCATCACTTACAGACTTTAATTCTAAGATAGCAATAAGTGCAAAACCATACCAAAAACTTTTGGGGAGGGGGAAAAAGAAGTACCTGGCAGTTTGTCTTTAAACAGTTTTAGAACAACACCCCAGTTTTAAAAATGTTAAAATATGAGAAAAAATAAAAATGAAAATCATGGGTCTTCCAGCTAAAATGTGGTAGTAAAAGCTTCCTTGTATGGCATTTAACTGGAAAGTACTACTTTGCAAGAATATCATTCAAAAATGCAGAATTCCTTGTAAACAATTCACTCTCTTCAATGTCCCAGATTAATTAAAATGTGATTCAATTTTCAACATTCAATGTTACATGAAATTTTCTAGGCACATGGCAAACCACCCACATACTTAAAATATTTTTTAAATAGAACTCTTAAATGAACTGATATACACACACCAATTAAACACAAAGCAAGAATTATAATAAGAATAGCAATTTTAAAAAATTTTAAGGAGTTAAAAAGCAAGGTAACAGGATACGTCCAAACTGTTCAACAAGTTCAGGTGGGAGAGGAACTCTTCGGATGGAACTCATCTCTGGAAGGTTGGGTACTGACAGCAAACCTGGTCCTTGTAGAGGATAATCCATATCTGACATCCCAGAAACAGTGGGACTATCTGCAAGTAATAAAACAAAGCATTTATTAAAATAATAATGTTTTGGGCATCAACTAGGCATACTGAAGCACTGCAAGCTAAAAAAAAATTGTGCATCTGGTGGTTGTAAAAGGTAGAGAGAGAGAATAAAATAGTTCTGACCCAATACAAAGGAGACCTGAGAAAATCCAGTGTTAAGGTGGGGGCAATTACAGGTTTTAGCACTAAACACAAGGTTATCTTTCACAAAGATTCCATTAGAAAGGAAATACTTAGTTCAATAATTTAGGTTTTTTTCCTATTATTTTACTAATCTGAAATGCGCAAATATTTATAAAACCACTTTGTGATTGTCAGATAAAACCATTATGAACAAAATACTGATTGGGGAAAAAACAGATTTCTTTTCCCACTTAAATATTAATAGATTAAAACAATCTATGCATTTTTCTTGTTAGACCACCCCCAAGACCAATAAGATAAACACAAATAATACCACATAAGCAATATTTTATTGGGGGAAACCACAGACTGCTCTATAAAGTGTTCTCATTTGGCAACCCTTCTCTTGCCCTAAGACACAGTCACCTAAGGGCAGGAGTGCGCTGCTCTATTCAGCCTGTCCTTTCTATGTCTTGAACAGGGAGGTGTTCTTTAGATCTGACTGATGACCTGTTTATCCCAGGCACCTTTCCAGGCTCTCTTTAAGTACAAAGATGTTGGGGAAAACTGACATATAAAAGAAATTCTAAATGTATTAGGGAAATTTAAAATACACAACTAGAGAGAAAAATGCAATCAATTCCTATGTACTGATTGATTACCCAGTTTCAACAATTACCAATAACATGCCTGATCATGTTTCATTTATATCCCTAGCTATTTCTTCCCTAATGGATTTTTTGAAGCAAATCCCAGACATCCCATTTAATCTTAAAACATAATTTTAATGGGATATTGCACGGGGCGCCTGGGTGGCTCAGTCGTTGAGCATCTGCCTTCGGCTCAGGTCATGATCCGAGGGTCCTGGGATCGAGCCCCGCATCGGGCTCCTTGCTCCGCGGGAAGCCTGCTTCTCCCTCTCCCACTCCCTTTGCTTGTGTTCCCTCTCTCACTGTGTCTCTCTCTGTCAATAAATAAATAAAATCTTTTTTTTTTTAAAAGGATATTGCACATGTTAAATGACAGTGGGAACACAATGGATGGAATTAATAATTCCAGTAAGAATGTGAATGGTTAGGGTTTTAGAGGGGAGGGGCTGGGGGGATGGGTTAGCCCGGTGATGGGTATTAAGGAGGGCACATATTGAATGGAGCACTGGGTGTTATATGCAAACAATGAATCATGAAACACTACATCAAAAACTAATGATGTAATGTATGATGACTAACATACGTAATTAAAAAAAAGAACGTGACTAGTTAAGAAAGCCCTCACAAAGGAAGTGATATTCAAGCGAGTCTGGAAGAATGTCAGGCAAAGAAGAAAGAACATTCCAGAAGTAAATGATGATGTAAAATAGAATCCCGAAGAAAGAGCTTCTTAAGGAAAACATGTTAAATTCAGTTTGACTGGAACAAAGAGTTTGAGAATAGGATGGAAGAAGGGGAGGAGATTAGGTTGAAGAGGTTGGTGTAAAGGTGGACAGAATCGATTTGAATCAGATTAAGAGAGGACAAGAATGTATGGACTCTTTATGTCTTGCTTTTCAAACCTAAGGAGGTCAAAGGAAGTAATGCTGTTCGAGATGAGAGTTACTAATAGGCCACTCAGTTCTTACAAGCACTGGTTAAGTAGCTGTCAGGAACAAATACTACATGTGTTTTATTTCCATCTTTTCTCTGACTACAAGCCTACTCAATGACTTTTATAAATCGCCACATGTCGTTTAGGTTTACATTGCACAGATTATCCTTGTTACTTTATCTTGGTTATTGTTTACCAAAAACCTTGTCTCTTACACTTTTTTTCTCCAATATAGGTCTCACAAAGGGGCCACTTTTTTTTTTTTAAAGCAACTTATGTAATTCCATGCCTTGAGGAACCTGGTCATAATTTAAAACCATTAAACAAAGTATTTTCCCATCGCCTCTCTTTTGTGGGCCCATACACTGCCTTACCCTCCCTGTTCATCATCACAGCTAATATCCCTGCTCTCTTCCTTTATTCCACTGGTAGTTCTTCTCAACTACCTTTGTATTACAGGACTTTGTATTACACTAACTCTACACATAATAAAGACTATCTTTGAGAGAAGATGGTAAATTTCCAAATTAACTTCGTTTGCCCGTCTGTTTTAGTCTAATGTTAATGAGGAATCAAGAAGAATGAGACCTGGATCAGGTGATCCTACCCAACTGGCCTTAGCGATGAACACTCGGAGGCAGTGAGCAGCTCATTAAGTTTGGGGTCTTTGCTTCAAATGGGGGATTGCTCGTCACTCCTACCCTCTCAAATATCGGCAGTGAAGTGAGAACAGGAAAATAAACGGAAAATAGGCTCTTTTTCGCTCTTTAAAATGTAGCACAGCTAAATCTCAAATGTCTTCGCTGGGCCCACCCTGGGGATAAGGACCTAGTTAGGAAGTCAGGCGAGAGTCCTTTCGGCTGAGAAAGCAGTCACCAAATGGGCACTGATCACTCACTTGGGGCAGACACCATGAGAAGCTCGGAAAGGTCCGGGTACATGCGGTCTTCTTGCAACTGACGGTCGATGAGCCGCCCTGCATTTTCCAGAGCTTCCTGCAAAGCTGAGGCCGACGTGGAGGCCGGCATCGCCGAGCCCAGTAAAGAAGACGGCATGTCGAGACTCGGAGACACCAGCGTCTGAAAAAAGTAAAAAACCAAGGAGAAAAGAGAGAAAAACCCAACACCCTGGCTCAGACCTACAGCTTACAGCGCGCGCGCCAAACGAGCGCCTCGGCGCCTGTGCATGACGCACTTCCGGTTCATCTGGAGGGGAATTTGAAGGCTGCGTTTTGAAGCTGAAGAGAGGAAGCTGTGGAGGGGGCTGGACGTTAGGGGGCGGAGCGAGTGAGCGGAGGCACTTTCCCGGGCGTAGGTTGGATGCTTGAGGGTGGGGGAGGGGAAAATCCGTGGAGGTTATCTAGGGAATGGTGGAAAGAAGGGGAAAGGACCGGGGAAGGAGAAGGCCGGGAGGGGTGGGGAGGTGGGAGGGAGCAGGGGTCGGGTAAGTGGGAGCTGGGTAGTGCCCGGCAGCGCAGGCTTCGCGAGCGCTGCATCTTGGTGTCGCGAGCTTTGCAGGTTAGAATCTCTCAACTGCAACTACTTAAGAGTTTGCGCGTCAATTTCTTTGGCACTCCAAACAACTGCTCTTGCGAGAGTGGATAGTGGTAGCTTGTCAGAAAGTTTACGTGTGAACCAAAATTTCACATTTCTTAGGGGCTTCACTGTCTATTCATCAGACTTTTCTGGCCTGGTCAGTCAGTAGAGCATGTGATTCTGGGTGTCTGGGTGGTGAGTTCAAGCTCCACCTTGGGGTGGAACCTACTTAAAAAAATTCATCACGCTTTTCTGTTTGTGTATGGCTATTGTTACTATAAAGAACTGTGTGTTTACTGAGTCATTCGTTGCATGCAGGGGGCTGTTGCCTTCCTTTATTTCTCATTACAGAGAGGAAAATGAGTGTTCATTGGTTGATCCCCAGCACAAAGTAGAGGGACTGGTATAAAGTAGGTCACCCAATACATCACCAAGTCCTACAGAAATTGAATTTATAATTTGTGTCAGGCACTGTGCCTGGTGCTGGGAATATCAAACTGACACATCCCTGTCCTCAAGGTGCTTCATGCAGGGACACACAAAGTGAAGCAATAAAGTGCATCACCATAATTTTTTATGGGGTATGTGTTAATTGCAATAGGAGGATAAGATGAGCAAGAAGAGGTAAGATAGGTTCATTTCACACAGAAGGCAACTGGGGTGGTCAAATCAAAGCACTCTTTCAAAGAGCATTCCTTATTTAGAAACACTAGAATTTGTCCTTATTTAGTGCTCATTTAGAACCACACTTAAGTAAACTTCATCCCCTTATATTCTTAATAGTTTAGCTAGTCAGTAACTGAATTACTCCTTTGAAAGAGGACTTCAACTACCTTTTTTTTTTTTTTAAGATTTTACTTATTTATTTGACAGACACAGCGAGAGAGGGAACACAAGAAGGGGGAGTGGGAAAGGGAGAGAAGCAGGCTTCCTGCGGAGCAGGGAGCCCGATGCGGGGCTCCATCCCAGGACCCTGGGATCATGACCTGAACCGAAGGCAGATGCTTAACGACTGAGCCACCCAGGCGCCCCATCAACTACCTCCATTTGATCTCAAACTTTCCAATTGATTAAGTTCTTCTTTCCAGCTTATCTCTTTTTTTTATAATTCTTTTTTTTTTGCATTTTTAAATTTTATTATGTTAATCACCATACATTACATCATTAGTTTTTGATGTAATGTTCCATGATTCATTGTTTGCATATAACACCCAGTGCTCCATTCAATACATACCCTCTTTAATACCCATCACCAGGCTAACCCATCCCCCCACCTCCCTCCCCTCTAGAACCCTAAGTTTGTTTCTCAGAGTCCATAGTTTCTCATGGTTCATCTCTCCCTCCAATTCTCCCACTTCATTTTTCCTTTCCTACTATCTTCTTCCTTTTTTTAACATATAATGTATTATTTGTTTCAGAGGTACAGATCTGTGATTCATCAATCTTACACAATTCACAGCGCTCACCATAGCACATACCCTCCCCAATGTCTATCACCCAGCCACCCCATCCCTCCCACCCCCTACCACTCCAGCAACCCTCAGTTTGTTTCCTGAGATTAAGAATTCCTCATATCAGTGAGATCATATGATACATGTCTTTCTCTGATTGACTTATTTCGCTTAGCATAATACCCTCCAGTTCCATCCACATCGTTGCAAATGGCAAGATTTCGTTCCTTTTGATGGCTGCATAATATTCCATCATGTATATGTGTGTGTGTGTGTGTGTGTGTGTGTGTGTGTGTATATATACCACATCTTCATCTTCTTTATCCATTCATCTGTCGATGGACATCTTGGCTCTTTCCATATTTGACTATTGCAGACATTGCTGCTGTAAACATCGGGGTGCCAGCTTATCTCTTAACTCAGGCCAAAGATCCTGCTGGCAAAGCATCCTGTGATGGGAACAGAAAGTACCCCCTCAAACAATTAGGACTGCCCTGAGCCAGCAAACCCTGCCTGTAGTTGACCCCCAAGGTAATGATGGCCCTGACCTTTACTGCCCACTTGCCTGTATCTACTGACCTTTGTCCCACATTTTCCTTATATAAACCTAGGAGTACTTTTAGCAGTTTGGAGACAGCCTTTGAGATACTAGTCTGCTGTCTTCCCAGTGTTGGCCTCAAGTAAATTCCTTTCGTTTCATCACCACTTGTTTCTCTGCCTTTGGATTTTTTAGTGGCGAGTGGCTGAACCTTGTTTGTTTGGGACCCCTTGAGCCAGGTGCTCTTGTGCCCCTGTGCCCAGGATACAGAACTACGGTCTTTGCTAAACTATGGTCTTTTGCTACTTGAATTATTTTTTACTCCCTCAAATAAGGGGTTGACTAAATTTCTGAATATTAAAATTTCTGGGATGTTAACAGACCTATCAGTATAATTTAAGACTTTGTGGTAAATATATCAGAAAAATTAGATTTGTATTGTTGGTGGATAAACAGGCAGATGGTTCTCCAGCCATCAACTTTCTTTTACTCGGTAGACCACAGATTGAAAACTGATGGTTTGGCACAGTGTTTGTTTGTTTTTACTTTAAGATAAAACATATGATTGAGAGTTTTCAATTCCACAAATTGGATGATCTGGAATACCGGTCTAATATTCCCGCACTGCAACAATATTCCCAGGGGCCTAATTAGGTCCAAGGACTTCTGTTCAGTTGTATATTGCCTATGGTTGCTTTCCAGCTACAACTGCTGAGTTGAGTAGTTGCTACACAGATGACACAAAGCCTAAAATATTTACCATCTAGCCCCTTACAGGAAAAGTGTGCTGAAGTCTTCCTTAAACAGTGATTCTAAACTTTTTTTTTTTAAGATTTTATTTATTTATTTGAGAGAGAGAGCACATGAGAGGGGGGAGGGTCAGAGGGAGAAGCAGACTCCCCGCTGAGCAGGGAGCCCGATGCGGGACTCAATCCTGGGACTCCAGGATCATGACCTGAGCCGAAGGCAGTTGCTTAACCAACTGAGCCACCCAGGCGCCCGATTCTAAAACTTTTTGATCTCAGGACCTCTTGAGACTCTTAACAATTATTAAGGATTACAAAGAGTTTTTGTTTTGTGTATTGGGTGTATTGATTAATAATTGCTAATATCTCTTAAAAACAAGAAATTTAAAATGTCATTTAAAAGAATAAACCTTGGGGCGCCTGGGTGGCTCAGTCCTTAAGCGACTGCCTTCAGCTCATGTCATGATCCCAGGGTCCTGGGATTGAGCCCCGCATCGGGCTCCCCGCTCATCTGGGAGCCTGTTTCTCCCTCTCCCTCTGCTGCTCCCCCTGCTTGTGTTCTCTCTCTCTGACAAATAAATAAATAAAACCTTAAAAAAATAAAAGAATAAGCCTAATCCATTTTAATTTAAATGATACATATTTTATGAAAAACCACAGTTTCTAAAATTAAATATTAGAAGAATGCATTATTTTACATTTTTTCTAAGTCTCTTAAATGTCTGCCTTAATAAGACAGATAAGATAGCTAGATTTTCATATCTGCATTTGTCGTCAGTATGTTGTGATCTGTTGTTTACTTGAAGTATATAAAGAAAAGCGGGCCTCACACAGTTATGTAATGGGAAAGGGAGAAGTGTTTTAATAACCTTTTTAGATAGTTGTGAATGTCATTCTCTGATAGATTACCAAAACTTGACAAGTGGTATAGTTTTTTTTTTTTTTAAGTGGGCTCCACACCCAGAGTGGAGCCCGACACAATGCTTGAACTCATGACCCTGAGATCTAGACCTGAGTTGAAACCAAGAGTTGGCCATTCAACCAACTGAGCCATCCAGGCATCCCAAGTGGTATAGTTTCTTTTCTTTTTAAAAAATTTTAAAATTTATTATTTATTTGAGAGAGAGAGAGAATGAGAGCACACGATTGGGAGAGGGCAGAGGAAGAGGGGGAAGCAAGCCCCCCCGCTGAGCAGGAACCTGGGATCATGACCTGAGCAGAAGGCAGCCGCTTAACCCACTGAGCCACCCAGGTGCCCCACCCTAAGTGGTATAGTTTCTTAAAAGTTAGTTATGATGTGGAATTTGAAACCATCAGTGAATTTTTTTTGAACTTTGTTAAATTAAAGACCACTCATCTATCTTATATTTTGGACTTTCTATCCATGCATGATTCTGTAACAGTATGTGTTGGTCACTTGGGAAATATTGGCTGTCTAAGTTATACAGAACTTCCAAATGTTGACATATTTCATTAACCAATAGAAAAAAAAAAATGATCGTGTTGGGGCGCCTGGGTGGCTCAGTCGTTAAGCGTCTGCCTTCAGCTCAGGTCATGACCCCAGCGTCCTGGGATCGAACCCCGCATCGGGCTCCCTGCTCCGCGGAAAGCCTGCTTCTCCCTCTCCCACTCCCCCTGCTTGTGTTCCCTCTCTCGCTGTGTCTCTCTCTGTCAAATAAATAAATAAAATCTTAAAAAAAAAAAAGAAAAAAATGATCGTGTTAATATTACTACCTATCTTAACAGAAAAATCTTTTAAGTATTAGGAAGTTGTCAAGCTTATGGTTGTTGATACAATCTTGGTAAGTTTTTCAGGATTCTAATTTTATCTTAAAAGCTCAAATTTTCATTGGTAACAAGTACAGTGAGTTGTTTTCCTTGAAGTGACAAACACATTTCATTCATTTT